GCCAGCGGGTTCGGCAAAGATCAGTCAGCTTCCGTGCCTTCGCCTCATCAGTAGTCAATGCAGCTATCCCTTCACTTAGCTTCTGCTGCCATTTTTGAAGAGAGGAGTTGAAGACGAAGCTCACGTCGCGCAGAGTCGTCCACATGGCAGCAACAGAATTAATCTTTGATACAGCCATGATGCACAGGTTGAGGGCATGCAAGCAGCAATGCAGGTAGAGAGCCTTGGGATGATCAGCAGTAATACGAGCGGCCAACCTCAGATATCATCTGCCATGTTTCCGGCTCCCACCGTAGCCTTGGCACCTCAGCTTGGTCATGTCAAGACCCCGGTTTAGCAGCTGGGTCTTGATTTCGTCGACGAGAGCCTCACTGTTGGTGCCATTGCTGCAAGCTACGAAGGAGAGAACTGCCTCCTTGACCTGGAAAGTCTTGTCCGGGTAGCGTAGAACAACTGCCATTTGCTCTGTGTTGCTTGCATCAGTGGCTTCATCCGCAAGCACTTCGTCAAGAGTCTGTTTCCGGATATCATCCCCACAGCATTCCACAAGCTGGTTCTGAGTTCTCCGTGTTGTGTACTTGATTGACCTGCCACCACCTGGCTTCTTGTGGAACGACGTGGACACAGAGGCATCACCTGTGCCAGCACGAAAGTCCAGAAGAGCCAGGGAATAGGCGCTGTGCACACAAGGCATTACGTCATGTTTTGGGCCTTGAAAAACCGCGGGAAAGCGTTTTGGGTGGCAGAGACCTGGCGCATGGCGTTGGCATTTATCCACGAGGTGAAATATGAAAGTAGGAAGCGGTATTTTGGTTTTTCCCCTGGTCTTTTCTTTCTTGTTGGCTGTTGCCTATGGACGCTCTGGACCATGTCTGCCCAATCGTCAGCTGAGGACCGCCTGAAGAAGTCCAGTTCGTTATGGGAATCGCCTTTGCGCAAGAAAAACTCTTCGTCATGGAAAGTGGGGGAAATGAGGCTGACCATGAGGCCTCTGAGCCAGGTCTTCGTTAGGACAATCCAGCCGCAACTTCATGAACGTAAGGAGCAGGCTGTTTTCATCGTCCAAGGCCCTCACACACTGACGTTGCCGTTCACCTATGCAGTGGGCACAGTACATTGAACCGAGACATGTATGACATGGCCCACGAAAAGAAGTTTGATTTTCCAGGAGGATGGAGACTCACAGCACTGAGTATGGAAATTATGGTACCGACACAAGTAGGTTCCGTACTACTGAAGTCATTCCACCCAACAACATTGCAAAGCACAGTATTTACATCATCAAAATCTAGCACAGAGCAGATAACATCCTCACCTGTTCTTGCTCCATTCCATAAGGTCATCCCCTTGCAGTGGGGCTCCAGGAAAGCCACCAATGCCTGAAATTGCTCATAGCTGGGGATACCAGTATAGAACTTGGTGAGGCTGTCACTGTTGCAAATCCTGGCGACAGAAAACTCTGGTGCTGGTACTGTGGCAGTTTCCTCCAACTTGACTCGCAGTGCCTCATTCTCCTGTGTCAACTTCTGCACCTCCATCCGCAACCGTGTGCTCTCCTCCAAACATTCCTGGATCTGAGTTCGCACTTCACTGATCTGCTCATCAACGCTGGGCAGGGATGGTGATGGCTGCTCCTCACAAGTGCTTTCACATGTTTCAGGCTTCGCTGCTGACGATTGGGGCGTTTTGTCCTGATGTGTCTTCAGGGCCACGCGTTCTTTTGGCGTTTTCCTCGTCTTCTCTGCTGCTGACCACGCGAACAGCGTTGGGATAGGATGCTCCTTGGAGCGCTTTCCGCCAACAAAATGAGCGCCGCAGACCCTTGTCGAGCTGCCCACAACCACACTCGATGTCCGCATGTTGTGGAGCCACTTTTTGAGTGTAGGCTTCTTTCCCAGAGGAAGACGGTGAAAAGAAAGCTTTGTTCCATCTTTCCCCTTGCCACCCCGATTGGAGCAGCCAAAGACGCAGCAAGACTTCGTCATCGTGTCTAAACGACTACAACCACTTCCTCCACAGTCGACAGATAACCTGAACCTAACAAAACCAAAATGTAAGTTTGTTCTTTCTTCAAACAACGAAGCCCAAAAGGTTTTGCCACCCAATTTGAGCTTCCCGCGCGATGACGTAAACCAATGATGTCACTTGCCCTTGTGTGCACAACGCTTATTACCAGGATTCCCAGCTACTTGTTCATCTCGACCCGGATTGTACTGTTCAGTTCGGGGGGGGGGGGGGGCACGCAGAGGAATATTCTGCTTGCCTCAGACAATCACCGTTTCCAAAATCCCACGGAGTTTCTGCATATTCTTTTCAGACTGGGTGGAATTAACATCCACAAGCTGCTGGACGATGTCGTTGCTACGCACTTGTGATTTAATTGACTGAACTTCGCCAAGGCGTTTTATGGATGTTTTATTCAGCATGACGGTTGCAAGCAGTCTTGAATCGTGTTAAATTCTCCAGAGGACTGCAGTAAAGCTGCCCAAGCTTCGAATCGTCTGGAGCAAATATCACACAGGGCAAGCAGAAGCCACCGTTGCACACCGGTGAATAGACTACCCATGGAAATTCCTCCAACCAGGATCGTTGAAAGCAGCGCTGTTTTCCATCCGTCTGGACACGCACTGGAAATATGAAGTCCTTCGGTGGCGTACAGTGATTGTCGATCACGGGAATCGTATCCGTGTCCGGCAAGTTTTGGGGCACCGGATCCCAGTGTGGAAGTCCACTAGCAGAATACCTCTTCCAACACACTCCAATATCGGTGTGAAGTAAGTCTTCCTTGATCCAGCAGCTTCCAACAACGGTCGCTCTACAGCTTCGCCGACGATTTCTTCCTCTGCGCTGCCTGTCGCAGACTCTGCTTGCAAGTCAGGTGCGTCCGCTCTCTCTTCTATCGTTTGACCTTAGCCACTGGCTGCATGCTTTGCCGGCTGCTCAAAATGGCTCTGAATAGAGCGCTGGCCCTCTGGATGTGGACGCTTTATTTTTCTTTTCCACCGAGCGAAAGCATCGTCAAAATCACAACCAACCTTTTCAAAACACACTGCGAAGGAAATGACTCCGAGACGGAGGAATCGATGTAACTAAAATTCAATTGGCTGTCTTGACATGCTACGAGGTGCAGAAATAAATAAATGAATAAAATAAATAACTACCATGACTGACTGCAGGACTTACCAGTGCAGTGACTGTGGACGGAGCACTGCATGGGATGTCTGCATGGCTCACCAAAACCGCACACTGCCTGATCCGGGACCAGATGGCGTAGGCTGTGTGACGAAAACGCTGCTCGTGCACCGAGACTGGCAAGACCCACGCTCCGAGACAGTAGAGCCGGGTACGCCGAGCATGGCATGGATCATTGGATGGACCAGCTCATACTCGATCATGCACTCTTTGTTTGCTGCACCCAGTTCAGTGCGCTGTGTCACAAAGGTGCCCCAGCACCACAGTTGTACACCTAGGTGTGATGTAGCAGGCTGGGAACATGACAGTAGTCTGCACGGTTAGAGGCGATTTACACGACGGCAGGATTCATCCCGTGCGTGATGCTGCCATGGAGATTCAGTCACATGTACGCATATTTTTGGCGCAGACGTATCCCGCGAGCTATCCCGGTGCCATGAGGGGGCTGGTGGGGGGGGGGGGGGGGTGGGGGGGGGGGGGGTGGAAATGCATCCCGTAGCGTTCCGTGGACTGTTTTGTATTGTCATGCATCCTGCCATGTGAATCGATTTTCGTTTTTCCTGGGTCATGGCAAGCTCACGGGACCACGTGCTTCACTTCCCAGCGGGATGCACTGCCGTCGTGTAAATCGCCTCTAACTATGTTACGAAATGCATGCAGTGCGTTCTGACCACAGCTACAGACTAGTACAGTGCGAGTATTGGCGCAGTGTGTCCAGGCCGACTGCATGCATGCACTGCGCGTGCTGGGCCTGGATCAAAACAAATTCTCCGTACCCATATCGAATTTTTTAACTGGTTCCCGGGCATCCCGGGAACCGCCCTATGTACACCCTGGTATGGATGTGTCTGTCTGACTGTGTGTCTGTATGTCTGTCTGCCTGTTGGTCAGTGTGTATGTGTGAGTGGTGTGTGTTTGCGTGCACGCATGTATGTGTGTATGAATGTATATGTGCGTATGTGCATGTGTGTGTATGTGCATGTGTGCGTATGTGCATGTGTGCGTATGTGCATGTGTGTGTATGTATGCAGCGTTGTCCTGGTATTTGCACAACGACTCTATTGCGGACGTGGCCCAACGCTCCGGCGTCTATGAGTCGCTGCTTGACCTTCTCTGTAAGTCAATAGTACGGTTCTGGCCAGAGAAATCCAACCTCATGAATAAAGTAGTGCCGCGTTCGAGTGCACAGAACAGTGTTTGTAGTGCCAACACTGCGTAACGCCCGGCGCTATTTTATTCATGAGGTTGGATTTCTCTCGCCAGTACCCTAAAAGTAGTGATAGCAGCAGCAGCAGCAGCAGCAGTAACAACAGTAGGAGCAACAGCAGCAACAACAACAACAGCAACAACAGCAGCAGTAGCAGTGTGTCCGCTACTAGATTGCAGTGCGACTTGGCAGCCCGCTCGTCTGCACGAGTCATGTACGGAACCGCCACGACCACCGCAGTGCCACTCCGCTGCGTGTGCTGTGATGTAATTCAGGCGTGTGATGATGTCACTGTGACAGATGCGTCCACACTCCACTGCTGCGCACTCCGGGTATAACGTAGACTTAGCACACCGCCGTTCTAATCGTACATGACTAGTATCTGGTAGGGCAGGTCGGGAGCTCACCAACTACGAGTGCGACATGCATGTGTACCTATTCAAACGAGAAAGAGATGAGTTGGAAGTGATAAGATTGCTTCTTGCTGCTTCTGCTGTGCGTGCGTGCGCGCGCGCGCGTGTGTGGTGTGTGTGTCTAGTTTTGGCTCCACAATCCAGTGTGTCGTTGCTATTATAGCTTTCATGGCTGAGGTTGTTGGTATGTCTGTTGGCTCTGGTTTCCCAGTACTCAGTAGCCGAGGCTGGCTGGTAAAGTAACTCCAATTTCACTTCAAACTACCAGTGCATCTAGTGTCTGCTTCTATCAAAGCAGCGTGCTGTCTATACTGGTTACCCTAGCAAGTGTAGGGTGTGCATAGGTAACTGTCTTGGCCGTTCTATGCTGATGTACTCCGTGTGGTGTAGACCAGTTCTGCATTGGAGGTCGATTCACATGGCTTCGCAGGTTGTGTGGATTGGGCAGTTATCTGGCGCTAGTCTTGATCTGTCTCATTCAGATCTTGTCCGCTATCGTTGCTATAAGAGACAATCTGTGGGTGCACGTCCAGTGCATTTGTAGAGTTGAGTGGTTCTCTTGCGACGGGCGTATACATGGTGTGTGTGTGTGTGTGTGTGTGTGTGTGTGTGTGTGTGTGTGTGTGTGTGTGTTCAGGCAGTATGCTGGACGACTGGAACTACCTCTGGCTGTTGGATGAGTCTGTACCGGACGAAGATGGTGATAAACGTGACTCTATCGTTGCTCTGCTTCAGCAGCTGCACACTCAAGCCAAGGTCCTCCTTTCGGTATGCATGGGCACCGGGTATCATGACCCAGAAGGGCAGGGCACAAAGGGGGGGGGGGAGAGGCAGGGCACATCCCATCACCTGAGTGACCTGTATGGGTATCATGACTCAAAAGGGCAGGGCAGAGGGGGGGGGGGCAGGGCACATCCCATCACCTGAGTGACCTGTATGGGTATCATGACTCAGAAGGGCAGGGCAGATGGGGGGGGGGGCAGGGCACATCCCCTCACCAGAGTGACCTGTACTCTCACCAGGGACACATGCTTCCAAAAGAGTGTGCAACATTCGTGTGCAGTACAGTGCATGGCGGACAAAATATCAAGCAGACATGCGGCTATTTTTATGAAGCAATGTGTACAGCACGCATGCTTTCAAGACGTGCCAGTGGACATTCTGCAATCCGAACGTATACCTATGTTCGTGTGCATGCGTATGACACTGCTTCAAGTCGCCCCGTTTGGGGACATGTGACCAATTGTGGCAGTGGGCGAAGGAAGGAAGGAAAGGTATGTGTGTTTGTGTGTGTGTGTGTGTGTGTATGTGTGTGCATGTGCTTGGATTTTTAGGTGGGGAGTCGTGACTCTCAGCTTCCCAAAAGCAACGTTGGAACGAAGGTCAGACCACCCGCGCACTCACGAGAGGGAAAGAAAGGCAAGGGGCCTGGCGAAGCGTCCGGCTTTGACGGTTCCGACAAGAACGAGCTCACAGAAAACCTGCGTATGGCCAACAAGGTCACTGAAGTCTATACGAAGGTTAGCAAGCTGTCTTCACTGCACTGTTGTCGGTATGTGTATCCTCTACTTGTAGTATCATGCAGCGGTAGTCGGTACTCCAGACTACAGACTACCGTAGTTGCCCAATTTGAAGTCGCACTCGTGTATAAAGCTGTGTTCACAACTGGCGCATGTACACGTGAAACCACGCGTTTGTGCGTATTTTTGCTGGCTTTTGGGGCGCCATGCGTACGGAAACGCGCCGAAATGGAAATTCCAGCATGTTGGAATTTTCAGCGCGTATCAGGTGCGTACAAACGTACATGCCAGTCACTTTGACGCGGGGTCAAAAAATTAGTACTCGAAGGTGTCGCACGGGCTAAATACGACTCGGATCGCTGTTTTTTTGTGAAAGGCTGAGCGCGCGTTTGGGCACGCATGAACTGCAAGCGTACCGCGTCCACGCGCCAGTTGTGAACACAGCTTAAGTCTCACTCCCTTTTCAGGTGTGAGTCATGTTATTTCAATGTGGTCTCGTTGGTAGGATGTCACACTCAATTTGAAGTCGCACTTGTTTATAAGTCTCAATCCCTTTTCAGGTGTTGGTCATGTTATTTCAATGTAGGGTCGTAGGTAGGATGTCACACTCAATTTGAAGCCGCACTGCCTTCTTTTCCTCGAAATTAAGTGAGAAGGTGTACGGTTTATGCATTGTTATGTCATTCTTCGAGGTGTTTTTATGCGGTGCCATCACAACATTAGAGGATAATAATATCACCGCAGAGCAGAGATTGAGCTTCGCTGAATGTAGTTCTGTAGCTTTCATGGACTCCCTTTTTGTATGTAGTGCTCCTTTGTGCATAGTGCTGACTCTGCGATTGGTACTTGACATTAAAAACCCGATAGGGGGAAGACCTTACTGCCTCAGCACTAGCATGCACTGTAGTGCACATACTACCTTACTGCCTCCGCACTAGTATGCACTGTATGTAGTGCACATACTCACTGTAAAATGGACCTGCAGTGCTCACGGCTGCAAGGCCAGCACCCCGTGGCCAATTGACTTCTCAACGGATTTCAATGTCCACAACAGTACGTGTACATGTACCCCCCCACACACACACGCACACATGCACACACACTTGTGCACACACACACACTGTTCTGGCACAGATCCAGCAGACGCTGGAGACGGCCAAGGCGACGCGGCTCAGGCAATCGGCTCTGCTGCGCAGGACCGAGGTGATCAATCTGACGTGTGACGACGAGGGACACGCCGGCGATGGCTGCTGGCCCAGCGCCAAGCGGCGCAAGCCACCGTTTGGCCAGACCACCGAGCAAGCTGACGCCACCAGCCAGCTGGAGGCGGTTGCAACGCCGACGCAACTTCTTGAACGTTTGAAGAAAGAAGCGGCACGAAAGCGAGAGCAAGAGTACGTGGACACACTGTCCAAGCTACGCTTCGCTTCTACCGACATCTTCACGGACAGGTATGCTGCTGCTGCTGCTGCTGCTGCTGCTGGGCTTGATAGGCAAGCAGCGCGGTCGCTACTGGTGATTTCATTTTGACCGTGTTTAACCCAGAAGTCCTTCTGAAGTCAGCTCTCATTATCCAGATGGTGCAGGCAGATGTTCTGATTATCTGAACTAATATCTCTAGAAGCGTCTGTGTACGAAAAGCAAACGGCCAAGCGACGCAGTAGAACATCCTGTCTGTACATATAAATGACTTGTTGTGTGTTCCATCATGGATTCTTTGCTAAATCCTCATTGGACAGTTGCCCTGTCTGTGCATGCCGTTAGCCCTGCAGTTGTTGTTGTGAGATGTACGTAATGGAGATTCAAATCCGTTCAGTGCGTAGAACATCTGTGTGTGTGTGTGTGTGTGTGTGTGTGTGTGTGCGTGTGTGTGCGTGTGTGTGTGTGTGTGTCTCTCTCTCTCTCTCTCTCTCTCTCTCTCTCTCTCTCTCTCTCTCTCTCTCTCTCTCTCTCTCTCTCGCTCTCGCTCTCTCTCTTTCTCTCTCTCTCTCTCTCTCTCTCTCTCTCTCTCTCTCTCTCTCTCTCTCTCTCTCTCTCCCTCCCTCTCTTTTCCTCTCACGCAGCCATGTATTCTACAAGGAAGCCCGCCAGCTGGCCCAAAAGACTGTGGTACCGGAGCGTATGATGCGTATTTGCAAGGAAGTTGCTGCCCTCTCCACTTCGTTGCCTCTATCGTACAAGTATGTTAAGCTTGACTTTGTTTTGCGTGCTTTTCATGGCTTTACAGCTAGATGAAGGGAAACCTGTGTAAGACGACCGCTCGAGAGACCTTCGAAATGTGGTTTCTTCTACCATATGGTCTCCTTATCCGGAGTCATTTGACTGGAAATATAATCTCTTGTCCCTGGTTGTAGTGGTCTTCGGGGGACAGATTTGGTTGCCTAATGCGAGTGGTCGCCTTGACAGGTTTTACTGTACTCCGAAAGGGGATTTGTCTGTTTTAAAGCGTTGTGCACGCCACTAACACTGGCATCCCTCTTGTCCTCTTACTGCTACTGCTGTGGACATTGTAATCCGATGAGAAACCAAGCGGCCACGGGGCGCTGGCCTTGCAGTCGTGAGCACCGCCGGTCCGTTTTTGCAGTGCATGTGTGAACTGTACGCGCTAAGGCTGTAAGGACGCAGGCCCTGGGCATTCCACCAGATTTCAATCGTGAGCACCGCTGGGCCATTTTTGCAGTGCATGCGTGAACTGTACGCGCTAAGGCTGTAAGGACGCAGGCCCTGGGCATTCCACCAGATTTCAATCGTGAGCACCGCTGGTCCATTTTTGCAGTGCATGCGTGAACTGTACGCGCTAAGGCTGTAAGGACGCAGGCCCTGGGCATTCCACCGGATTTCAATCGTGAGCACCGCTGGTCCATTTTTGCAGTGCATGCGTGAACTGTACGCACTAAGGCTGTAAGGACGCAGGCCCTGGGCATTCCACCAGATTTCAATGTCCAGAATGGTAGTCCTGCACAGTGTTTTCTACCTGCGGAAAGTAGCTACAGTAAAAACCTGTAACTAAAGACCACCGTGACTAGGGACCAGCCTGGTACTACAGATCACTTCGCCAGGCACGGACAGTCTCACATTCATACGGTTGTGCGGTGCAAACCTCTAACTAGTGACCACCTGCCACTAAAGACCGCTTTCTCTGGGCCCAAGGGGTTGTCGTTAGTCACAGGTTTTACTGTACTTGACCTGTCCATTGTGCTTGGGCATGTAGTTCTGTTCATCTTCGGTCGTCGTAGCCGACGAAGGCCAATCTGATGAACATGTTGTCACCCGTCACCCTGGCCTGTAGTGTGTGTACCAGTGTGCATAGCCGTGTGTGTTTGAAGCTCTAGAGCTGCATAGCACACACACACTGCTTGCAGTATCACTGTACATTACCAGTACAAGTACTTGTAAGAGTGCACAGTGTTTCTGGATTATAAGCCGCACTGGAGCATAAGCCGCACTGGAGTATAATCCGCACCCAGATTGTTTGTCACGAAATACAGAATTCATCACCGTTAATTTGATCATCAGAGTAAAGACGCACCGACTATTTTGAGGTGATTTACTGGTGTTTTTAAAAAGTGTGGCTTATACTCCAGAAAATGCCGTATATACATGTAATCCCCAGCAGTATGCAACTTGGCGTGTGTTTGGCGTGGGCTCCACCGACCGCAAAAAGTCTCTGCTGTTTGAGACCTTACAACCCTGTAAGGAAGGTGCAGTTGTCCGAAAGGCACGCTGTGTGTTGTGTGGATGACCCGTGCATCCTACGTACGCTTACAGTGTTTGTTATGCGTGTGTATGTGTATGCGTATGTGTGTGTGTACGTTTGTGTGTGTGTACGTGTGTGTGTGTATGATTGTGTACATGTGTACGTGTGTCTGTGTGTACGTGTGTCTGTGTGTATGTGTGTATGTTTACGTGCGCCTGTGTCTGTCTGTGTGCGCGCTTGTGCACAGCTCGTCAGTGTTCCTACGCATGGACGATGATCGTAACGATGTGATGAAAGCACTCGTCATCGGGCCTGAAGATACACCCTATGCTAATGGTGAGGGAGTATGACACTGGATGGCTGGTTTCTTGCAGATACGTTGGGTCATAGAAGAAGGCAGCAACTGTCAGAAGGAATCCAGTACTCCGAAGAACCTCTTGCTGTTGTGGGCAGTGTGTGTTTGCGGCCAGCTGCAGCGCGCAACGGTGGTGTGCTCAGTTTGCGGAGAATTAACATGGATCTGTTGTGGGATAAATCTCACGTTCCTGACCTGACATGCATTGTTATTGGACTGTGCACTCAATTCTGGATGATCTTGTCTTCTGCTGCATGCTGCAGGGCTGTTTGAGTTTGACATTTTCTTGCCGGCGACTTACCCCAACTCACCACCCTGTTTCCGCCTGGTCACGACGAACCATGGCAAAGTGAGGTTCAATCCTAATCTCTACGCGTGTGGAAAGGTGAGATGCAGCCTTGCGTGTTCGGATGGGACTCGATTGATATGCCGAACGCCGTACAGGGAAACAGGGACTTTCATGGAAGTTTTCGTCTCTCTCTCTCTCACTTTATATATCTCTCACACATGTGTGTGTGTGTTTTTGTGTGTCCATGATTGACTACTTCACCTTGTCACCTGATGATGGGCGTGTAGGTATGTTTATCCCTGCTTGGCACCTGGCAGGGCCCATCATGGGACCCCAAGAAGAGCACTCTACTTCAGGTAAGCTGATTACTATGCATCTAATTTATGAAAGCTTTCTTGTCTCTTGCAATCCCGATTTGAAAGTTAGTTGTCTGTTGAGTGTTGTGCATACTGCACTGAAAGCCTCACATCAAAGATGTGCAACTGCAGTGGAGCCTGTCCTGAGTACACCTGGGAATTAAGGACACCTGGGAATTACTTAGCGACCAAATGTTGAAGTTCCCTTGAGCAGTCGCCTTAGACAGGTTTTATTGTACATGTACTTTTAAAGTAAAGAATCAACTCACCACTAGTATTGCTTTTCTACCTCTTTCAACAGGTACTGATATCGATTCAGGCAATGATCTTGGTGCCGGATCCATTCTTCAACGAACCGGGTTTTGAGAACACGCGTCTCTCACCGCATGGCAAGTGGTCCAGCGAGAACTACAATGCCAGAATCCGGTAGGCACTGCCGCCCATTTTCATGTGTGTGTGTGTGGGGGGGGGGGGGGGGTGCGTCTGGTACATGCAGTGCTGCCAAATCATTTTCGCCCAAAAGCGGACACCCGTCAGTCGTCACCGCCAAGGCTGGCCACATGGTGCGAATTTTTCTCCTTGGCAAATTTTTTCCAGAGAATTCAAAATATCGCCCAAAATAGTAAATACCATGAATAATCGCTCCGTTGCCATGGTAACCGATATGGCACCCCCGAAGTTGTCATGAATTTTGTACTGCATGAGTGTGGTCACACACGTACAGTGTACATTGTACATGCCACCCAGGCATGTTACTCATTCCACTACCGTATTTTTCGGAGCCTAGTGCGCACCTTTGTATAACGCGCACCCCCAATCTTCATTGGGGGTGCGCACTTCAATCTTCATTGAAGTACATGCATTTCGTATTCGGAGCATAGTGCGAACCTGCGATTTAATAGCACATCTAAAGTGCGCACTATACTCTGGAAAATACGGTAGGTGTTACTTCTCAAGTATTAGTTTGCACTTCCACAGCCGGCCAAGCGCTAGCCTATTTACTTTGTACATGTACAGTGATGTGTGCCTTCAGTTGCACTGAAAAGTGAAAGTACAGGACTTCTGCATAGGAAAGTACTGATTCCTGACAATTTTGGCTGCTTTTCGGACGTTTCCTTTTCGGACCGGTTTTCGGAAGAGCCTTCAAAAGTCGGACACTCGACATGGTTAGCATGGTTCGACGGTCGGCCTGTGCCGTTTTTTGTGTGTGTAGACATGGCATTTTACAGTTCACGCGCTAGATCCAACGGTACTCGTACCCAACACCCCAAATACCCCCCCCCCCCCCCACCGTCGGTTTGGTACCGTTTTGACGATAGAAAGCTCTGTTTAGCGGGAGAACGAAACGGTAAGATTCGAACTAGGGTTGCGTCACAAGTCGATCGTTGCTTCAGGAGTCAGGACTCAGAAGCCGAACTGCTAACCGTCTCTCGAAAACACATCAAAACAGTAGACTTGCCCTCTACAGGCCGACCGTCGAAAATAGCGTCAACGGTAAAATGCTAACTATTTCGACTGTCCAAAAAATCAGACGGTTTGGCAGCACTGTACATGGTGTGTGTGTGGGGGGGGGGGGTGCGTGTGGTACATGGTGTGTGTGTGTGGGGGGGGGGGGGGGGTGCATGTGTGTGATCAGCTTGTTTCTATTCAGGATTGCATACCGTATGTTCCCGTTTTCTCACTGTATCCTTCTCTCAGAGAAGCAACTGTTCGCTTTGGCATGTCACACCAGCTGTCAGCAACCAAGTCCATTTTCGCCCCGGTCATCCGCCAGCACTTCAAACTGAAGGGTGACGTCATTTCAAAGCAGTTAGAAGATTGGACGCAACGTGCGACAGTGCCACGTGAGTGCATGATGAGTGTTTGCCTGTTTTGTGTTTTTCTCAGCACTCTGTCGTATCATGAATATAATATGTAAGCTTAGCTGGCTTTACTGAAATGTTGCATGGATCTGAACAAGGCACAACAATAGCTAGCATTTGAGTATAGTATCGTAAAGTACCGTTGATCCGCCCCCCCCCCCCCCACGTCATGTCGCTTCCCAGCTGGTTTTTCGGCAGGGGGCGGGAATTAGATCAAGGCTGTCCAGTGCAGTACGATGTACAACAACTTGGAGGATCAGACTCGATGTGCTAAATTGTGCACATTTTCATCCTGGATTGGCACATATTGTGTACAGCAGTGCAAGCGTCGGTTTAATTAACATCGTATTTCGTTGTATACACCAAAATCGCTTCACAGGTAGAGAATCGACAGGGGGCGGAAATAGAGAGGGGGCGGATCAACAGTACTTTACGGTATGTGTGTGTGTGTGTGTGTGTGTGTGTGTGTGTGTGTGTGTGTGCGTGCATGTGTGGTGTTTGTGTGTGTGTGTGTGTGTGTGTGTGTGTGTGTGTGTGTGTGTGTGTGTGTGTGTGTGTGTGTGTGTGTGTGTGTGGTATTTTGTGTGTGTGGGGGGGGGTGTTTGTGTGTGGGTGTGTGTGTGTGTATGTGTGTTTGCGTGTGTGGTGTTTTTGTGTGTTGTGTTTGTCTGTGTGTGTGTTTGTGTTTGTGTGTGTGTGTGTGTGTGCGTGCGTGCGTGTGTGTGTGTGTGTGTTCTGGTGTGTGTGTTCTGGTGTGTGTGTTCTGGTGTGTGTGTTCTGGTGTGTGTGTTCTGGTGTGTGTGTGTTCTGGTGTGTGTGTTCTGGTGTTTGTGTTCTGGTGTGTGTGTGTGTGTGTGTGTGTGTTCTGGTGTGGTTTGTCTGTACTACAGCGAGACCCTCTAACACGATAGTGTTTGAAGGTGGCGTGGGCACCAGCGAGGCATCAATGAAGGCCGCCGTGCGGACATTTAACGATCACCTCTCCTTGCTAAAGCCAATAGAGCTGTGATACAGTGCCACGTGAGTGCATGATGAGTGTTTGCCTGTTTGTGTTTCTCTCAGCACTCTGCCGTATCATGAATATACACATGTAGGCTTAGCTCTTTACTGAAATGCTGCATGGCTCTGAACAAGGCACAACAATACCTAGCATTTGGGTATAGTATGTCAGGGGCGTAGGCGGGGGGGGGGGGGGGGGGGGGGTGGTGCTTTGGATGCCAAAGCACCCCCCCCCCAAAAAAAAATTTGATCTTTGTTCAACAAAGACCGTTGACATTGCAGTTGGCTTGTATATAACTTGTTATACCATTGGGCGTTGTAGTTGTCTCGGTCCGCTGAGGCGCTGCCCACGTGTGCAACTCTGCAGAATGCACAGACTCAGAGTGATCTAGTGACTGTTTAGCTGTCCAGTGTCCACCCTATCTCCACTGTGAGTTTGGTTGTGTTTTGTTTGTCCAGCCCGACCAGGCGACCCGAATAATCTGTGTTTTGCAATTGTTGGCGGTTATAGAAAAAATAGAAGAAATCACACGGAAACGAGTTATGAAGCAACTATCCACGACGGTAACAAGATAATAAGCAGTCAGAAAGTGCGATAGCTCGTTTCCATGTGATTTCTTCTATTTAAAAAAAATTATATTTATAGGCTCAGTATCCGAGTTAAGAGGTTATAGAAAAGAAGAAAAAAAGTATTGTTCTTGTGTTCTAACTGCACTCACTTAATAGCATAATCAGAGAGGCACATGTAAAAGTTGAACTGCGGTTCGCTATTCTTTAGCGTTTAGGAAAGGTACGAAGTTTGATGAATGCCAGTCAAGTTTGCTCCATGATCCAAGAAGACGAAGAGAAAAGAAAGTCGAGAAATCTGATTTTGAGATCAAAAGGAGCTTGTGGTAATTCCAGGGAAAGCAGCATGCAGGATCTGGCTCAACACTATTATTGCAGTTGGGAGCTTACCAATGATGAGTGATCTTCAATGTCAACTGTGGTGGTTGCTTTTTTTTGCCTTGATTGCAAGTATGCATCACGGATTAGCGGAAAATCTAACCATCATACTTGGAAATACAGTAAAACCTGTCAATGCCGCCACTCGGAAGAAGCGCCCACCTGTCCTAAAAGACCACTGAGACCAGGAGCAAGGGATGCATTTCCAGTCAAATTACCCTGGATGAGGAGGCCACCTGGTAACAGAGACCACGTTTTGAAGGTCCCTTGAGCGGTCGTCTTAGACAGGTTTCACTGTAGTAGCATGTCATGGTGTGTGTAATTAAAGAATCAGAAGGCATGTACAAGCATGAACCGGACTAACGCACGTATATTTAAAGCACATGCGCTTTTAAGTGAATTTTTGCTACGAATCCGATTTTCGAAAGTGAAATATTTTCGCCTTAACGTGCATGCGCGATCAGAGTTCGTTTGCCAGAGTCTTTGCGTTTGACTAGGTCTTGTAGTGTCAGTTTCATGGTTCCTGTATGCTGTTTGCAGACTTTTATCCATGATTGTGTCAAAGTGAGAATTTTGGTAGTGATGCGCCTACTACGGTACTTTTGTGGGAAATTGGTACACCCCCTTGATCATGATCCTGGCTATGCCCCTGTATGTATGTATGTATGTATGTATGTATGTATGTATGTATGTATGTATGTGTGTGTGTTTACATGTGTGTGTGTGTGTGTGTGTGTGTGTGTGTGTGTGTCTATGTGTGTGTGTCTGTGTGTGTGTGTCTGTGTGTGTGTGTCTGTGTGTGTGTGTCTACATGTGTGTGTGTGTGTGTGCGTGTGTGTCTCCTGGTGTGGTTTGTCTGTGCTACAGCGCAACCCTTTAGCACAATTTTTTTAAGGTGACGTGGCACCCAGCGAGACATCAATGAAGGCCGCCGTGCGTACATTTAACGATCACCTCTCCTTGCCGAGTCCAATAGAGCTGTGAGGATTGGCAGACAACACACACCTGGAAGGAAAGGCTCCCATCTCTGTTGGCTTTAATGAAGGCTGCTGTGCGGCCTTTTAACAATCACCTCTACTTGCTAAAGCTAATCAAGCCGTGGTGATTGCTAGACGACTACTCACGTGTGTACATATAAGGAATGGACACATCCCCCCCCCCCCCCCGCTCCTGTCTCCATTGTTTGTTTGTTTTTTGTGCGCTGGGTACACCTGTGCCAGCGATGTTTTCCTGTTCCACCACCACCGCTGTTTAATTTTATTTTAACTGCCGTATTCTCCAGGCCGGCATTGTTTTTCGTCAGCCTCTCTGGGTGAATCCAACCTGCCGCCAGCCTCACGTCATCATCATTATACCATACCGCGCCATTATGCCATACGGCGCCATTATGCCATGCAGCATCGCTATACCATCATACTACGCCATTATACCATACTGCGCCACTATGCCATACAACGCCACTATGCCTTACAGCCTCGTTATACAATGGTAACAGTACCATTATGCCATACACTGTTTTAGCCACACCAGCCTGGTCTGAACTCGTTTGTGCAGTTCTACGTCTCTTCTTCGTGTCGTTCTTTTTAACAGCTCCACAATGATTGTTTTTTTTCCGGTCTTGTTCTGCACCTCTATGGGGCTGCATCGTTTGCTGTCTTTTAACCTACCTGTGCTCACTTCATAGACGTCAGCCAGTTTTAGTAGACCACCAGTTTTAATAGACCACCAGTTTACGATGTTGCTTTTGCTTTTATATGCTTCTATCTGCTTTGTTTTGTGTGTTGTTTTTAGAAGTAAGGTGATCTTGCAGAGGAGGACTCTCCCAGATTATGGGCTTTAATATTTGGTAGAAATTGTTGTGAAGCAATCCACTCCAGAGTGTATATCTGAGCTCTGTGTGTGTGTGTGTGTGTGTGTGTGTGTGTGTGTGTGTGTGTGTGTGTGTGTGTGTGTGTGTGCATGCGCGCGCGCCGTATGTCTGTTTTTCACATGCGATATGCGTGCGGTCGATATTGGGTATCTCACGCCATCGTTGTTGGGATGACCGCATATCCAACAACCAGCTGCTGGAGTGGTGGGGTGACTCCGAAACCATCATCACAAAGGTACAGCATTGGCGTCTCGAGTGGCTGGGCCATGGCGCCCTCATGGACAACGTGCGATTGCCCAAGCAGTTGCTGTTCAGCACCCTGCCATGTCGTCGCCCGGATCGTGGCCCACGTCGGCGGTGGAAAGACTGCGCTCTGAAGGACCTCCGCTCATGAAACCTTGAAGCGGACTGGTACAGAGCGGCCTGTGGCTCTCGCCCAGACTGGAGGTTGGCTTATACCTCGGACGTCCCGGATCCCCCGTACCGGCACCGGTGACTTGCTGCGCACATGCACCCGGCACTTCGCACGTCAGGGCAACCTCACTAGGCACAAGTGCGCGGCTGAACGGCAGAAGCCGGTTCCGGAGCAGAGAGGTGCATGTCATCGTTGGTTCCGGTGCCGCGGTGGTTTGGCTGTACATCGTTGGTCCGCTTCTATCTCATGCCCACCACCAAGAGTACATGTTTTCATGTACTCTTGCCGGCACCGACCGCGTCAGCTGCTGCTACCATCGTTGATACTACCGCTCGGAGTTGCTGCCATGCTCACTGCGACATCTGCAATCGTTGTTTCCGCTCAACCCAGGGACGCAACCTACAGGCTACAGCGCTGTTCAATGCACTGCCACCTAGAGAACGGGACAAGTTTCTGCATATTTGTATCTGCTCTCACCGGCTCCGACTAGTCTCGCATCTGGAGCGCCATCGGGTGGCGTCCTCTTTCTCTCTTTGCGGCCCATCCGGGGCGGCCCACGTGACCCAAGTGGTTGTGGCTCTATAGGACAGGTGTGTGTGTGGGGGGGGGGGGGGGTGTACATGCACATCATGTGTGGTGTGTGTGTGTGTGTGCGTGTGTGTGTGTGTGTGTACATCTTGACAATGTGTGTGTTCTCTGCTCTGGTGGAGGACGGTTGTACTTTTCCGGGCTCTTGTTTCTGGCCTCCGTCCGTGCTTGTTCTCGCCGTTGTGGACGGCCTGGGGTGTCCCCAGCCGTCCAGGCCAACAGTGCCTGAGGTGGGGTATTCACCGACAGGAGACTTGGTCGGATAGTTACGATGCCGACACTCTCCTCGTCGCCCCCACCTCGGAGTCCTTCGTGAGGCTTTGCAAGCCCGCGAGTGGAGCAAACTACCGCACGAAGACGACAACTTGGAACGACTCTGAGCGTTGGCTCATGGAATGTTCGCTCTGTTGTGGAGAGTGATGGACCAGTTCTAGCGGCAGCCGTGAGAGGAATCGTTTCCGATGATAAGCCAGATCCATAGCTGCTGGAGATGGCTCTCTCGAACATGGTCCCGCTCGTCGTTCTATATTGTCGGCCCCGTAAGGGGACACGTGACCGTAATGGCAGTGTTTACCAGGACCAGGACCAGGAGGTGTGTGTACAATGCACATCATATGTATGTATGTACTCAATCTCCAGACAGCTAGCTGTTTCCGTCTCGTCAGCGGAGCTCAGAGTTACTAGCTGAACTGATCACAATGAAGTCCAATGAACAACAAAGCACGTTGCCTGGCTCAAAGAATCAAAGTCAGAGTGCTCGAACTTACTTCTAAGTAAACACGACGAGCTTTGCCGGCACCGTATATTTCTGCATATTATTAAAATTTATAATGCATTGTATGTACATGTATGTGCATGCACATAGTCATTCTTTGTTTTAGGTGCGCGTCCGCGTCTGCCCGTGGGTGCGAGGGGGGAGAGAGAGAGAGAGAGAGAGAGAGAGAGAGAGAGAGAGAGAGAGAGAGAGAGAGAGAGAGAGAGAGAGAGAGAGGGAGGGACGGAGGGACGGAGGGACGGAGGGAGGGAGGGAGGGAGGGAAGGAGAGAGAGAGAGGGGAGGGGGGAGGGCGTGCAAACTGCAAAGCTAAAGACATTCACTTGGGTATGCCCCTTTTCCACATCCGGTGTGCTTATCTTCTTTGTTGTTGTTGTTTTTTTGGACGATCTTGGATATTGATGTCTGCATAGAGTGTGAGACACTGATTTGCAGCAGGCTAGATTGCAAGATAATCTTTCCGGTTCATCTTCTTTTCTTCACAGCCACTGGTTGCTACCGTACCATTGAAGTCGGAAACTATTTTCGAGTATAAACTGTTCGCTTGTGTATGTAAAATGCCTGCTGCTTTTCAGAATGTGTTGAGTGCAATTTATCAGGATGCTGGCAGCAGTCGACTTTGCAGTGGTGGCAAATGTTCTGACACCCGCATGAACACAGTCTTTACTTGTCCTACTCCATCTTCGCTGCACATCCGTATAATTATATCTTGATCAAAACAAATTCAGCCACAAGTCATTATCTGAAACTGGTGAGGTTTACCTACACGTACTGGCGCTAGGGTTTATCGGGTGTTAGCGGCCGTCGTGAGTTCCCTTCGGGAACGGCTACGATAATTAATTATTTACTTTACTTTTTACATGACATGTACAGTATAATTATCATACAACACAAAGTGGGAGTTTGTTCTTTCGTTCTTTCCGATTAATTTTATCACGAATTGAATCCTCAGACTTCAGTGCAAGTGCAAGCATTGAGTTCTGCGTACGCTCTGACGTACTACAGTCGTGGGCAAGGCAATCCGACCCGTAAAAGCAGTGTCAGAGCTCATACGCCTCGACCTCCCGGATTGGTTTTTGGACCGTGTATGAGGTACAGTCAACTTGGCTAATAACGACTGCGGATTTAACGACTGCGGATATAACGACTGCGGATATAACGACTGCGGATATAACGACTGCGGATATAACGACTGCGGATATAACGACTGCGGATATAACGACTGCGGATATAACGACTGCGGATATAACGACTGCGGATATAACGACTGCGGATATAACGACTGCGGATATAACGACTGCGGATATAACGACTGCGGATATAACGACTGCGGATATAACGACTGCGGATATAACGACTGCGGATATAACGACTGCGGATATAACGACTGCGGATATAACGACTGCGGATATAACGACTGCGGATATAACGACTGCGGATATAACGACTGCGGATATAACGACTGCGGATATAACGACTGCGGATATAACGACTGCGGATATAACGACTGCGGATATAACGACTGCGGATATAACGACAAGTTGCGAATAACGACTGCGGATATAACGACAAGTTGCGAATAACGACTGCGGATATAACGACAAGTTGCGAATAACGACAGCAGTTCCATGCCCAGAGCAAAGTCCCTTCCAACTGTAATACATATAATGAGACTTCGGGTATAACGACACTTCGCGAATAAGGACACTTTTTTGATGTCCCGCCGAATGTCGTTATAAGCGAAGTTGACTGTATAATTGAAATAGAAACGTGCCGCTACTTTTGACTCCGGGGTCGAATCGCTATGGCGCTGACTGTGCATCGTATTATCAAGAGTACATAACCCCAAGAGTGTGCAACTGCCTGCACAACCTCTATGCTGTGCTGCGACGGCAGAACTTCACATCACGTGACATGGTTCAAAAGGTTATGCTGGCAAACAGTGCAAAGTGACCACAAGAGAGTTGTACCCAAAGCTGGGCTGCGTACAACCCAGTATCTATCATGCACTAGAGTGCACGGGTTCATCACGTGATGTGAAGTTCTGCCGTCGCAGACCCCATAGCTGGAGTTGCACACTCTTGGGGTTATGTACTCTTGGTATTTTGAATTACATGTAGGTACTGCTTGGTGAGGTGCCTGGAAGCATTGCGTTTGTTGTTATAATAAAAAATATCTACCGAGAAAAGACTAAGTCTCCAGCAGATTAGTTTAACTCTCGCCAAAATAGGAATCCATTGCTTTTGTTCATCGGATCTGTAACCATGGTAACTATGGTGCCAGGCAATCACACCCGTGCAGCGAGCAAGAGCCGCACTTGAGGCCGGCGGCACAGCAATGCCAGCTGTCGCCGCAGTCCTGGACGGGCGCCGGCTGAGCGTAGCAGCAGCCGTAGCCGGCGCTCGAGTAGTGATCGACGGTGCAGGTCGTGTTCCCCGGACACGCCATCTTGCCGCCAGGACACACGTTTCCAGTGGTGGCGGCGGCGTGGGGAATCCCCTGCGGCCGCCACCCCCGTCTCTGCTCCTCACGCTCTCCGGCATGCTCAGCCTCCGCCTCGGACAGTAGCTTCTTGAGGCCGCTGGCGACGGCCTGGCTGAGTATCTTGTACCCGGCTTGGTTGTAGTGCACGTTTTTAGGACTGGCCTAGCATGGCGTAAGCACGTAGGACACACAAGAGAAGAGTAGGACACAATGGTTATATACAGTCAGACCTCGCTTATCCGGTCCTCTTTTATCCGGATCCCTCACCATCCGGAAGAAAATGGTTGGTTACACATTTTCAGCATATGCCATGCATACGTACAATATGTGTGCTCGATTATCCAGAGCCCTCGCCTATCCGGATATTTTATTGGAAAACGGATCCGATGTGTGCGGTTAAGCGAGGTCTGACTGTACATACATGTACAAGACACATGTAAGCTTTCCTTCAGGTAGAGCTCAGCGCTACAATAATGTAGGTAGGATGATGACAGCGCCTCCGAGACGAGGCGGAGAACAGCATACGCGTGTGTCAAGTCTCACTCACGGAAGGGTCCGTATTTGGCATCCCGTGAAGCGGCATGTTTCATGTGTTGCTCAGCGAAATGCAACAAGTTCAGGGAAATGAACACCGCCACATAATATTATATTGTAGTAATGTGGTGACCTGAGTACAGAGATATGCGAGGTCACGTTCACGCTCAATTGTGTTGCATGCACGTACACACACATGCACGTACACACACACATGTACGTTCCTAAAACTGACCTCTATTGAACAGTTGTATGGCACTTTGCCGCACACGTCAATCACAGCCGTGTACAGGTCGATGACGTCGAGAGATGGCTGCTCGCCATGCATCACTGACACAGCAATCTGTATGGAGAGTGCATGTACACGTACATCACGCGCACACAGACGCATACACACCATGCATGCCCGGACCCGCGAACGTATACAGAGCTGCTCACTTTTCTTGGGTGAGTCAAGTTTCAACTTTACGCCTTTCACCATTACGCAGCCCAGTGTTCGCAGGTCTTGGGCTGCACGATGCCCGGCGCATACTTGAGTGACTCGACTGGATTTCATTGAGCAGCGCTGTAGAAGCGATATGAGCGACTATCTTACGGTACATGTGCATGCGTATACGGCCCTGCACTGCAAGGCATATACCTGGCCTTGCTCGAATTTTTATAATAATCATTGGTCTTGCTTCAGATATCAATCAAGCTGTATGTGTGTGTGTGTGTGTGTGTGTGTGTGTATGTGTGTGTATGTGTGTGTGCATGTGTGTGCATGCGTGTGTGTGTGTGAGTGAGTGCTCGTGTGTGCGTGTGTGTGCATGTGTGTGCATGCATGGTGGCACGCACGCGTGCGCGTGCGGGGAGGTACATGTATATGTATCACACCAAATCATAAAAGTGGCAATTGCAAGAGTGCTGATGTATTTACTGGAAGCTAAGTGAGCTCTCCTTTGTTTTACCCAGCACTCACATCATTATACTGCACTCACATCATTATACTGCACTCACATCATTATACTGCACTCACATCATTATACTGCACTCACATCATTATACTGCACTCACATCATTATACTGCACTCACATCATTATACTGCACAACCAGGCTGTTGATGGCAGCATCATACCCGACTGGGGTGGTTGTGACAACAGCAACATGCGGTGTGTGGGTAAGAAGGCGTTTCTTCAGCTGCTGGAAATTTTCCTTGTACGCATCTGGCGAGGTGTATTCCTCAGGATAGCTACATGGGGTGGGGGGAGAGAGAGAGAGAGAGAGAGAGAGAGAGAGAGAGAGAGAGAGAGAGAGAGAGAGAGAGAGAGAGAGAGAGAGAGAGAGAGAGAGAGGTGGGGAGAAGAGAGAGAGAGAGAGAGAGAGAGAGAGAGAAAGAGAGAGAGAGAGAGAGAGAGAGAGAGGAGAGGCGAGAGGTTAATAGAAATGCAGCAGGCATGGTGGTGGCCTGGCACAAGCGAAACGTCCCAAGCAGGTTGTGTTTCTCAACACAATCGCATAGAGTTTATGTAAACTATTTCACGGGGCGAGACAACGGATTTTCTAATGGGTGCTTAGTGTACAGCGCGAGTCGGTGGATTTTCTACATGGTAATGGGTGCTAATCATGCAGTGTGAGTCACTAGTACAAGTGCAACGCTGTGCCGCGAGTCCACGACTTTGTCAAACCACCTCAACTGATGATGTAGTCACATACTGTAAACCCCCTAATTTTAGCGACCAATATATTTTAGCGATTTCGAATTGTCGACGTTTTAGCGACCTTTTATTTTAGCGATCAGAGTAGACAGGTTTTTTTTCCGGGTAATGTGAGCAAATGGAGTACGAGTACTACTAGTAGGTCTACATGTACATCTACAGTATGTGTACTGGTGAACAGGTGAAGAAAGGAACTGTGTTACTACACAGTGCAGTGACACAGACTGGTATGTATGTGATGGTACTGTTCACTGAAAAAAGAAGAAAAAAAAAGATTCGCAATCCCTAACTTTAGCGAATTTGACTGATTCGCTAAATTCACTAAGGATAATGTGTCGCTAAAACTAGGGGGTTTACAGTATGTAACCTCTGTAGCCAGTGCGGGCAATGCGCATGTGAGAACTTTGAAAGTACAGTAAAACCTGTCAAGGCGGCGACCACTCGGATAAGGCGACCACCTGTGCCAGAAGACCACTGGAACCAGCACCAAGGGATGCTATTTCCAGTCAAAAGACCCTGGATAAGGAGACCACCTGGTAACAGAGACCAGGTTTTGAAGGTCCCTCGAGCGGTCGTCTTAGACAGGTTTCACTGTACAGTAGTTGCCAGCTTGAGACCGACCCTACCCCGCGTGACAACCGCAACGATTCAGTACAGTCATGTAGAAGTACAATAATGCCCCGAGCTTATAACTGACCCTACCTGCCACTGTAGTTGACATCGTGCAGTCCGGAGTTGATGACGATGGCGTCATAGTGTGTCTGCTGCAGCATGGACGTGACCATCCACTGGTCGAAGCACTGCATGGCGTACTTTGTGTCCAGTGCACCTGTGCAGACAGCGGCACATGGGAATCGGTTTTCATGCAATAGGTTTTCAATCAGTACAGCTGTAGATTTACCAGTGTAACGTCACCAGATGGTTCCGTAGATCACTGAATTGACGTAGAGTTGGGCATATTCAAGCCTTGAATGTCATTGTAGTTCCTTATTGCCGGCTTGCATCATTCTCGCACGTTATCGGTAGTAGTCTCTGATGGGTTTATTCCTTCTTTGATGTTCCCGCGGACCCTTGTGTGCTTTACCAATTGGTAGAATACAAACTCTTTATCTCCGGCTCCAGTAGAGTGAGCTGACAAATTGACAATGTCAATGATACAGTCGTCCCTCTCTAATCCGGCACTTTATAATCCAGCACCCTCGATAAACCAGCACAATTTTCAGTAGCCAAAATGTCCTCTTCATGCACATTGCAGCAGTAAATCAGATTTGTTAATCCAGCACCCTCCCTAATCCAGCAGATTTTCGTGGCACAAATGGTGCCGGATTATAGAGGGACCACTGTAACAGATTTGAAGTAATTACAATGTACAGGAAAACCTGTAGCTAAAGACTACCGTGACTAGCGACCAGCCTGGTACTACAGACCACTTCGCCAGGCACGGACGGTCCCACATTCATAATTATAATAATAATGGTTGTGCGGTGCAAACCTCTAACTAAAGACCACCTGCCACTAAAGACCGCTTTCTCTGGCCCCAAAGGGTGGTCGTTAGTCACAGGTGTTACTGTAATTAGTTAGTATTGGTAGATCTACGTTTCCCTACCTCCATCAGTACTGAACGGTGCGTGCTGTACTTGGCACACGCTGGAGTTTAGCAGCTGCAGCACCAGGGGCGTGTATCCCAGACTCACCGAGTCACCGATCACCAGGCAGTTCTTGCGACCGTCCGTCGGCGGCAGCAGCGGTGGCCCAGGTCGACACACGCGTGAGGCGGGCGACGCTGTCGCTTCCGCCACCTGGACAATTCCGCCGGTGGCCAGGAGCAATGCAAGAAGCGGCATGAAGGCAGAGATACCTCCGCCATTGGCCTGAGTTGATGTGGTCATTCTAGTTCTGTGCCGAGCTTTGCGGAGTCACGCAATACCAAACCGATGTGAAAAGTCTAATCCCGTAAGATCAAGAGGAGTCCGCCTAGGAAGGGAAGAATTTTTAGATTCACACTCTACAAACACTCTACAAACATTCTTCCCAAATGACTTGTACGTTTAGCTTGAGCTATATACTATTATAGGTGGGAAGAATGAAACGAAGAAAAGCCACGGACCCTGATCTCTGATCTCTGATCTCGTTTATCTACGTGTAGATCTACGTGTATGGCGGTATGGTAGACTACTTACTTGTGTCGCTTCATGCCATGGATCTATGAAAGTATTTTAGGGGCCGTCCGTAAATATCGATGTTTTTTTAGAGACGATATTGGTGCTTCTCTCCCTTGACCCCCCTCCCTCCCCCCAGAAGACGCACATGTACATCTAGATCATGGAATCAATATTTTTGGATGCTCATGAAGTGCCCAGGATGTTGAGGGTCCGGTGTAGGCGTGAAAATCCCGCCGCACTCACGCCTGGGGGGAGCGAACCGGGTTGGCGCTGCAGTGCTCACAGCCATCGTGTACTGGTGAGTGGTGTAGCCAAAGCGGCTCGGGCTTGAATTTTTTCAAATCCTTGTTCAGACAGTGAAGACTGGAAACTCTTGTGGAGTTCGTCCGTGTTTGTTCGCACTGCCTCTACGTCTTGAAAAAGGTCTCCTACAGGCATCGTTCGGCCGATTTCCACAATCAATAGCTCATTCTTTTGCTCTTGAAATTCGCCATGGGCGTACAGCTTCCAATTTTTGATTTTGTTCTTGTGTCGCGAGTTTTAGCTCCGCGAACGGAAGCTGGTTTCACATTTCTTGTATAGCCATTTAGACGTCCGCGTGCAGGGATCGGCGAAACTTCAGATATTTACATCGATATTTTTCTGATGCTCGAAAAGACGCACATGGCTCAAACCCCCTCCCCCCCAGACGCACCAATATCGTCTCTAAAAAAACATCGATATTTACGGACGGCCCCTTACTAAAATTTTAGTATGAATGATTGTATGACTGTAGACCTACATGGCTAATACAGTACTTCGCCTTGGCTTTAGCTTTGTACTTTCCCAACTACGGTAACCATGGTAACTACTTACCCAAGCCAAGGCCGCAACTTCGCAAGGGTAAAATGGGGGTCCGTAGTGCTTGGTGAGTAGGTCTACGAGTAGTGGGTCTAGAATGTAGACCTCCTAGCTCCTGACTATCTGCAGTAGTACCGGTAGATCTACCGTAGTATGCCTGGCCCTAGGCCCTGTAGATCTAACTAACTTACTAACGAGTAACGTTACCAGTGTGGTTACTTCTGTCTGTAGTGACTATTATGTAGTCTAGAGTCTAGTCGCTAGTAGTAGTAGTAGTAGTAGACTACTAGTAGGGACGACGAGAGTCCATGCGGAGCTATGGGAGGCCGACGTAACTAACTGTTAGTGTTACGTCGCAGGCCCGTAGCAGCCCCATTTAGGTTGGTCCGGCAAGATCCGACTTTGATGCTCCCCCTCCCCCCCCCCATACTCATATATTATGCCGGTACATGTACATGACTTTATCTTGCCCGTAAAAGAGGCCGTTACCCCGCCAAAACAAAACAAAAAACATGTACATACATTGTAAAATGTACATGTACATGCATGTAATCGTCGTGACCATGTAGAGTGACATAGGGCGAGAAAAGGAAGAAGGACGTTCTGCATGAGTCAGGAAAAGGGCATCAGCATGTTGTGTCCGTCCAAACAGAACTTGTTGAAGCCTGTGAAGGTATAGCAACAGTATCTAAATGCATGTGATAAAAGAACCAAAATGTACCTTTGGAGGAGGAGAAAGTGTATTGCAATGGACTATCTTTGGTACAAACCCTATCTAGAAAGAATTGGAGGAAGAAAAGAATCCGAACACGTTTCCGGAAGTACAGAGTAGGAACATTCACGGGCATGACTGTCCTCATGACCTTCAGCAGGGTCATATTCCTGATGACATGTGCAATGTAGGTCTACTACCGGCACCAAGAGTCCGTAACTCTTGCCGGCACTACTCTGATGTAATACCTCTATACTACTTATTACACACATCATCATCATCATCATGGATGGACATCCTGAGCTGCTCACATGGGTGAGCTCCCCCCTTTTTTTTTTTTTTTTTTTTTTTTTTTTTTTTTTGGCCGAATATTGGTCCGGCAGCTGCCGGACCTGCCGGACCGCCTGCTACGGCCCTGCGTCGTAAGTGGTCCGTGGCATGGCACTGCCCCCCCCCCCCCCCCCCGGTCCGAATGGTCGAGCTAGCTGGGAGACGTGTTGAAATGACTGAAATCCCCAGGTGGATCCCCGAAACCTTTTTGTGAGGTCGAGATGGCGAAACACAGCTGACTGTAGCTAGATGCATGGTAGATATCCAAGTACCGGTAGCTAGATCTACCCGATTTCCTGATTCCATTTTTCTTTGCCTTCAAATAGTTCACTGCAGCAGTCAGTGTAAAAATTATTATAACTGTGTTAGTAGTCTCCTTCTGACAGTCTACCAGTTACGATTAGCATTACTCGTAGAATCCTCCTAGCCCCTTGTAGTTGTAATCAATCGACTGAGCGTTCCTCAACACAACAGGCATTTTACTGTTACAATATACATGATTGTACAGGACACTTTTCTACTCCTGATCAGCGGCTCTGGACTAATACTTTTGTAGTTTGTAGCGAATTGTAACATCTAGCGATCGAGTGTGTCACTCTCTCGGACAGCTACTTGCAGCGTTAGATGTACAAGCTCGGTCACAGAGAAAAAAACGAGCTCAGAAACTATAGTATAGGCGACAGGCAGAATCAGTAGAGGTTTCGATAATCATTTTGAGTCAAGGTTGTAGGAGCATTTCAAGTTGAGGGGAATCGTCTTCTATTCCATTAGTGAGTTTGTAGGTACTAGTACGTGTAGTTTGAATGGTCCAGTGCTAGTAGATCTCCTGCTAGTGCTACAGGGACGCGGACGCTACCGATTGAAGGAACACGATCACACAGACACCACTCACTGCACACCACCGTCATGTCTGGCAGTGTCGAAGAAGGAGCAGATCCCTGGCAGACGGTAAGTCAAGTCACTTGTTGGCAAGGACCAAGTGCAACTGAAGTCTGAAGCCCCAGGCGCAGTGTAGAAATTCTACACTGCGTGTGCAAAACATATGAACACGTTGTTATATCCAATAAACTTATAGGGAGTTGCAAATCGCTGTGTAACTGTTGCTATCATTGTATTCGAGGTGTATATTGCCTTTGGTACAGTCAGACCTCGCATAACCGCACACATCCGTTTTCCACAAAAGTGTACGGATAGGCGAGGGAACCGGATAACCGAACACACATACTGCACGTATTCACGGCATAATTATGCTGTAAATCGGTAACCAACGATTCCCTTCCGGATGGCGAGAGGACCGGATAAGCGAGGTCTGACTGTATTTCGTTCTGTAAAGTATGGATGCGGCTGATGGGGATTCTCGGCACTTGTGCCTGTGGTTGTGAGACTTATCCACTCTTCCGCACCGTTGGGCGCTGCATCTGCCGCTAGGATTTACCGGGTGTTAGCGGCCGTCGTGAGTTCCCTTTGGGAACGGACACAATCTTTTACTTACATTACCTGTATATGCCACAGGTAGTGTAGTAGAGAAGTTTTTAGCTTTTGCTGAGACCGTTTTTTAAATTATTATTCCACGATCACGATGACATAGTGCCAATATAACATCTCATACGGGCGTTTAGGCGGCTGAAACCGAAGGGCCTCGCCAAACATTATCAATCTCTTCTTCATTGAGAGTGCGTGACCTTTGTAGAGCAAATCTGTTTTTAACGACACGCTTACAACTGACAGCTGGTATGAAAAATGGCCCAGCGCATACAGGTACTTGTGTGTACGAAGCTGTCCGCAATTCGCAAATGAATTCTGCCTTTGCTAGCCTAACGCCGCGTGTTAAAGTGCACGCGCCTATATCCGGGTGTAAGCACACCCTCACACGTACGCGCATAGGCTTATACAGTGTGAGTGAACCCAATCCCGCGACACACTGACACCATCTCTACAGGGTGTAATGCGCGGTTTCAACATTCCATACTGGCAACGCAATTACAAGCACCTGCGGCTACGTGTGTATGTGAGACCAAGCGACCTGCGAAAATTTCAAATGTGTGGCAAAACTTGCGAAAAATTTCAAATGTGTGGCAAAACTTGCGAAAAATTTCAAATGTGTGGCAAAACTTGCGAAAAATTTCAAATGTGTGGCAAAACTTGCGAAAAATTTCAAATGTGTGGCAAAACTTGCGAAAAATTTCAAATGTGTGGCAAAACTTGCGAAAAATTTCAAATGTGTGGCAAAACTTGTGAAAAATTTCAAATGTGTGGCAAAACTTGCGAAAAATTTCAAATGTGTGGCAAAACTTGCGAAAAATTTCAAATGTGTGGCAAAACTTGCGAAAAATTTCAAATGTGTGGCAAAACTTGCGTACAGTAAAACCTGTCAAGGCGACCACTCGGATAAGGTGGCCACCTGTCCTAGAAGACCACTGGAACCAGCACCAAGGGATGCTATTTCCAGTCAAATGACCCTGGATAAAGCGACCACCTGGTAACAGAGACCAGATTTTGAAGGTCCCTTGAGCGGTCGTCTTAGACAGGTTTCACTGTATAAGCGCATGGGCTTACACATGGGTCGTTACGGTAGTTTGCTTTGTAATAACCCACACTCCCTAGTACCGTGCTCAGAATCTCAGTGTAAGGATAGCATAGAGTGTTAGTGTAAGGATAGCATAGAGTGTTAGTGTATTGCACTTTGTAAGATTCTTCGTGTGTAGAACTCAGCCTGACCTTTCCCCTCAGACACCAACCCTTCACTCAGGACTGTGCTCGTAGCAGATGCCTGTATAGTTTGGACATTGATTGTTGCACCCCTAATCGCATGTGTGTATCTGCGTCGGTATGCGCAGGCTGTGCGTCCACGCTACACGTATGTGCTGGACAAGTGCTCTCCCAACGCGGACGAGTTTGTGCTGCACGCCTTCCAGAAGAACCTCATTACGTCCCGCGAGAAAGAAGAGCTGCAACTGCCAAAGACGAAGACGCAGCGCATGGATGAGCTTGTGACTATCCTGATGCGGGGCGGCGCGTCAACACTGACCAAATTTCTTGATGTGAGTGAAATGGAATAGTGCCGCTCAGTGATTTTCAAGTGTCAGTCTTTGCGGGATCACCTTGTACATTGCATCATTCAAATTTCACGTGTGTCAATTGATGGCCCTTTGCAGATTCTGAACGACATTGGCAAGGACAAGCCAGATTTCACTGATCTTGCCACGGAGCTAGGAAAGAAGGCTTGCGGCTATTGAAGGTACGCAATTCATGTTCTCGGCATACTATGGAATACGATGAAGTACTATTTTTTGTCTACCCTGCACTATTCTATACCAATTTCTTGACCTTCGACATGCAGTGTCTCGGTCTTCGCTATTAAATACAGTCAGACCTCGCATAACCGCACACATCCGGTTCCCACTAAAATATCCGGATAGGCAAGGAAACCGGATAATCGAACACACATACTGTTTATGCATGACATATGCTGTAAATCGGTAACCAACAATTTTCGTCCGGATGGCGAGGGATCCGGATAAAAGAGGACTGAATAAGCGAGGTCTGACTGTAATGTTATATTCTTTGGAGGTACGTAATACTGAACTTTCGCTGTATGTGTGAGTACAGTTCTCAGTGCTGCCAACCTTCCGTATTGTTCCGTATCATGTTGTACGGAAGATTACTCCTTTCGTTTACAGTACGGAATTTGACCAAAATGGTACGGAAAATTGAAGAGGATCGATCAGCTACAGATATATAGAAGCATGGCAAGCGCAAGCTGAGCGATGGATATCCCTGTGCCAAAGTGAGTGCATGCCATGCTTCGACTATGCACAGCACAACTATCATGTCGTGGTACAAGCCACACATGTTTTGCACTAGCAAATCCAGCCACCGACAAGAATTTGAGTGTCAAAAAAACACAACACAAGCAATGCACACGGCAGTACATTGACAGTACGCGAAAACACTGCAAAATGCGGTCTCTTGGATACAAATTCTTCCAAAAATAATAAAATTAATAAAATAAAATAAAATTTAATTTAATTTGAAACTCGCGTATTGAGCCAAAAATAAAAGTAGAAAGGAAAAGGACATATGGAAACGAGTTAAGAGTAACTCTCCACCACCGTAACTAGATACTATATACAGTCAGAAAGTGCAACAACTAGGCACAAAACGGACAGAGTACTGAGACATTCGACGTCCTGACACCTACATCTCCGTAGCGCTAACCGACAGCCTTCCAACTTGGAATGTTCAAGGTTATGGAAAGACCAAAGAGGGGAAGGCAAGCGCAACGAAAACGAGCACAAGCTACAGTCCCAACGGAACAAAGATGCTGCTTCGAATTGTAGTTAAAACGCTTTGTCAAATCACCTACTGGTCTCGTCATCGTCCAGTAACAATCGACATTCTTTGTTCCGTTGGGACTGTAGCTTGTGCTCGTTTTCGTTGTACCTGAACACTGAAGCAAGCGATCGATGCATCATTCAGCCTGATGTACACAGACGTGCATGAATGTGCACGCATTACTGGACACGCGTATCTATGAATTCCCGCACACTACAACGCAGCCATTTAGACAATACTCTGTCAATATTCAGTCTCAATGTTGTTCACTTTGAGGATGTGCCATTCACGAACCTTCAGTGAAAGAGAAAAGATATTCCGCGGACATGAGAGGCGTTTAGAGGGTGCGGGTTAGACCGAGTAATAATACAAGTAATGGAAATGATTGTCATCATGAAAGATCAGCCTGTACGAATAAGTCATCTTGCCCCGTGCTTTCCCACTCTTTGTTCTTTCTGGCAGGTGCGCGGCATACACGTGGCGGAATCGTATCACCAGGTCCCGCAGCTATGTGAGTACATGCTGTTAGACAGATGTGTGAAATGCCGCCACGGATTGAGCTTCTCAAACCGGGTATGAGCTAGGTACAGCAGACAACCGGTGCGTCCTGGCCCAGCTCTACCTATTGAAAGGCTAATTGTAAAAATCGTGCTCCCAGGATGTTGACCTCTGGATTGGAAAGGGAATGAGCTTGAAATGGCCTCGACTACAACATTTATTTTCTACTTTAGTTTCTCAATAAGAATATTGTGCTGAGCCCTATTGTAGTCTCTCCTTTCCTCCACCCGCTAACACAGTATTGTCTTGCAGTGTAAATAACGCTGAGAGGTACCTTAATGTGGGGGAACGGAGAGCGGTATTGCTGTACTTCAGTCTTTCCCAATTTTTATAGAGCTCGGAAGCTACACCCTAGTCCAGCTGCCAGGGTTGAATTTCGTTTAGAATTTTTCAGATTGTTTTCCAAATTAGACTTTGAAGTGGGTAGACTTAGTGTAGCCCTTGAATTCTAGTCTTCAGCTGGCTACAATGTCTACAAATCTACTTCAGCCTCCGATATCTTTTTTAAACTTATATTCTTGTGCATTTTTGGGTGGCAGCCGTGATCTCATGGCTTTTCCACAGAAGCTTCTTCGGCATTGTTTGTGATAAACCGGTAACACCACTCTGCGTGCTGGGATGACTTCTCCTCAACTAACGTTCTCCATGGTGCACTGGACCGAATCGCGGCTGTCACTGCACGAGGCTGCGGGAATGCCGTGCATGCAGGAGTTTTGTGTGTGCCCACACCGTGATTTATTGTGTACATAAACCCTGCAGATTCTTGCATACCGTATTATCTCTAAGATAAGCACAGTCTCCAATAATAGCACGTCTCCAATAATAGAACACCTTGGGGCGGCATTCAAAAAATAAAGTGCTCAGTCTCCATTATAAGCGCACTGTGTAAATTCATTATCTGTACCGGCGAAAAAACCCTGAAATGTGTGTGTGTGTCTGACATGAATTTGGCATGGCAACATCCCTCTGAAATGAGGTTGAAATAATAATGGAACAGTCTCCAAAAAAGGAACGTCTCCATTAATAGCACGGGGCAGAGGGACATTGAAAAAATAAAGGACCGTGCTTATGTTAGAGATAATACAGTAGTTTAAAGCAGTATCTCAAAGTACATGTATTTGCCAGGTTCGGCAGGGCGTTCGAGCAGGACTTTAAAGGGTCTTGCCTGGAAGTGGACTGGTGTTTCCGGCCGTGCTGCAACCCAGAGCTAATGATTGGGAGCTCGTGACCTGGCCTGAGAATAGCATGGATCCAGCTAATGGAGTTTCAGACCACTTGAGTGGGTTTGACCAATTCATGCCCACTACGGTTTAGGAACTGTTTTATTCACGTTGAGTTTTCAGGACGATGGCATTCCTATGCCCGGGATGAGGGAACATCAGCCTGACTGACTCTCGCTTGAACCCGTGAAATAACCATCGGCAAAGCCAGGCATTTTGCCATGGTCTGCTGTTACGCAGATGATCAATAACTCAACTGCTGGCATCGTATCGCATGGTCAGATAAACCACGCAGGGTACATTGTCTACGCTGATGGGTAGCAATATTACTGGGAACATGTCCATCTATTCTTACACTTTCGAATCAGGAAATTTACACGGCATCAATCCCCATGAGAGTCTGGCAAGTAATTCAACGTCCATTGACTTTCTCTTGCTCTTTGATTAGCTTCCCAGAGCTGACAGCACTGGTACAGCGGGTACGGCTATGACCATACCAGCTTTACCAATCCCAGCGTTCATGGCATTCCCAGCATGAAACTACATGACTGGCAACTGAAATCCGACCCCTGAGCGGTGCGCTCACATCGCAAAGACTCAACAAGGGATTGTAAAACTACGAAATAGAGACTGCTACAGTGCTAGAATGTGAATGGTCAGGGGTCGGGTTTCAGTTGCCAGCACTGTACATGTACGTGGAGGTACTAGTAGGCTATCCTCTCACACTCCTCGAGCTACAGTCTCTCCTCCTTCTGAAACTGTTCTTCTTGTCCAGCGAGGACTATTGTGTTGGCTGGATCATGTCGGTTGCCAAAGGATACCTGTGTAGCTAAAACAAACGGGTACGACACCCAGAGTATAAGGTATGCATCCTCTTATGATGCTGATATTGGGCTTGGGGAAATGATTGGCCTGGCAGCCAACTAAGATACTTGGGACCTGATGCCATACCACCACCCAGGTGCTTGCTCCAGGCCTGTTTCCTGTCCCGGTATTGCGATGACAGATTTTTAGCAACCAGTGGCTCAGGCCAGAAGTCAGTACAAGTCATGTAAGGAACTATAATATAGGTGGCTGCAGCCTACTACGGCTACCGTATTTCCTCGATTAATAGACCCGGTCTTATGTTTTTTGAAGAGGGTTGGACCCCGGTCTCTTATTTGGGCATGGTCCATTATTTGAGCACGGTCCACTATATTTTCATCGGCACATCGCTGGAAATGGTGGGTATAAATTCTATATTATGACGTGTTAAAACCCATCATTTCCAGCGATGTGCCGATGAAAATATAGTGGACCGTGCTCAAATAACGAAAGAAAGCACTAGCCACTACAAAATTGTAGTTGCGCAACCTAAAATCGCGTCCTTTTTTGATCCACCACGTGCTTTCTTTGTGCGCATGCGCAAAGCGATGAACTCAAATAAGAGACCGGGTCTCTTATACGGGCATGGTCGACTATTTTTCCGTGAGGCCTCTAGGAGGGTCTACTATTTGAGCATGGTCTATTATTCGAGCATGGTCCATTAATCGAGGAAATACGGTACCCCTCACCTTGTGTGCTCCTACGTCCAATGTTTTAATTAAGTCTAGGTGCATGCCGGTGTATATGGAGCGAGAATGTAATGAGCTATAGTATTATAGCTCTTGGAACTTGCCAGTGCAGACCCAGCCGATAGACTCTCAATTGGGTTGCATGCCTTACTTGTCAAGTATGACAGGGTTAATTGCAACATGCAACCCCCCCTTTTTTTCGATGCCAGGTTGCAACGCTAACGCCGAGACCCCTGGTCGGTCGAGTTGCTCCCTGTACATCGGCACGTCGTCCCTACATCCCCTGTGTCTTGTCTTGTGTTTGTCTCCACATGTCTCTTTGTAGGGCTGTGTTCCCAATAAATTAAAAAAACAAAACAAAAAACATCAACCCAGTATTGTTGTACAACACATACATGTACCATGCTAGATGAGCCATGTGGCACAAATTACAGTGCTGCAGTTTCGTCAACCAGTACTGCTGCCTCTCCAACTTCCCTTGTTTGCTGTGGTTTTGGTTTTGCGATGCTTTGAGTTGTGGAAAACTGGAAATACAATGTAGAATAGTTCTGTGTTTGCGCATCAGCAATACGCTGACGTCGAACTAACACCGAAAATGGCAAGATGTCTGCATGGTGTCATGGGCGTGAGGTGGCTGACGACATGTCAACACTCGACAGCTCGAAGTATTAGTAACTGCTTTACATACATGTATTCAAATCATTTTCGCTGGGAGGAGACCGGCTGCAAAACCTGCACGGCTGCAGTCACAACTGTGAAAATCCTGAAAGTGTCGAAGTAAGTAATTAGTTAGTTGCTGAATGGAGCAAGGCGCAAACTACATGAGTGACGTAGCATTGTAGATTGCAGTGCAGTCAGAAGACTCCAGAGGGCGTACCTTGCTGCAGATATGAATATCTACAAGTACAGTACATCAAATAAACTTGAGGACGGTTGGCAACGGACGGAGAGAGTCTGTCCTTGCCTATGCACGCTATTTTAGATTTTCAGGTCCGTGTTGAATGCTTTGGTAGCCATGGCCGACCAGAATTCGAGTGAACCGGTTTCCGTTGATGTCGAGCAGGGAAGCAAAGACAAAGATCATGCAAAGGAGGAAGTCGTGGAGCTGCAGGCTCCTGCTGCAAAGTATTTCAGTACTCGCTGCGTTGTGTGCCAAGCCCCTGATGTGGCGAACGGTAGCTTGAAGATTTTGAGTTGCTTGCACACCATGTGTATGTCCTGCTTGAGGGAAGTCGTGTGGAAAGACGGGACAGTATCTTGCTCCAGATGTCTGAAATACACCGCCGGAATTCCCAGTGTTCGGCTGGAAGACTCTCTCGTGGATTGGCCATTGTCTGCTAGCGCGATGAACAGCGATTGTGACGAGCCAGAATTTCGGAAGGTAGTTGTGTGTCAAGATCCGCAGTGCGAAGGTGAATGGGTGCCCGCCGCATCCTTCTGCGTCAAATGTGATTTACACCTCTGCGAAGGTCATATCTCGGTTCACAAGGGAAAGAGGGCCACTCGTGATCATCCGCTAGTGGTAATCGAACCAGCTAAGGCTGCAGCAGGATCATCAGCAGCGTTGGAGCCTGCAGCCAAAGCAATGGCTACATGTTCTAGGCCAGAGAAGAATGATCCACTGGAAGGAAAAATATCGTTCGAGTCCTCCGCCAGACCAGATGCTCACCCCACAGCTACAGGTATGAATGAGTGCAAATGTCCGGTTCATCCGCACGTGACTGCCACATGGTACTGCGCCCAGTGTAAAATGATGTGCTGTGAGAAATGCAGCGATAAGGCACATGCAAGCCATCCTCGTGAAGATTTTCAACCAGCAGAACAGAAATTGAGAGAGGAATGGAGGTCGAATCTAGAGGAGCATGTACAGAAAGACACATGGAGAGAGAAGCTGATGAAGGCCACTACTGACGTTGAAGCACGTCTACATGAAATCAACGACGAGGTGGATAAGCTGTCGAAGGAAATTTATGCTGATTTTGATGAACACATCGAAAATTTGCGGCAACGACAGCATGAACTTCTGCACGAGCTTGACATAGTGCGCTGGAAAGCGTTGAAGCGATTGGAGAAACAAGCAGACATCGTGGAGAAGAGGATAGAACACCTGGACCGCTGTGAATATCTGGTGGAGAACCTGAGTGGAAGCAGTGCTCTGGCAGTCAGTGAAATCTTGGATGCACAGCTCACCGAAGTTGTCAACGTCAGCAAAGATGCAGCGAATAAGGGAGAAGTTCTGCCTAGAGTAGATTTGGGTGCCAGTTACGAATCATTTGCGACTGTGGAGAAGCGGTATGCCTCATCGCTTGGTGCAGTTGTTGATGCTGGATTTCATGAAGAATCAGCAAAGAAAGTGAAAGCTGGACCTGTGCGCATTCGACCAACATTTGATCTTGTACCGTGTACACATAATCCGGCAATCCTACCTGACAATGACCGGTATGGCATCACTTCCACGTTTCCAGGCACAGTGACGCTTCCGACAGTGGGCTGCTACTCCCATGGAATTGTGGAGTGCTGCATTCAAGTGAAGAGCAAAGGAACGGAGTTAACGCTTGGTGTAGTTCGTGACAGCGAGAGGAATACTGGCAGCATCCAAGGCTGGAGTGGTTCAAGTGGCAACACGTTGGGACAACCCTGGGAGGCTGGTGACTTGATCAAACTATCTCTGGATTGTGCGCACGGCAGACTTAACGGAGTTCATTTACGATCAGGTGCCACACACTCAGTTTCTTTTCAGACTAAGCTGCTGCCGGTGTGCTTTGTGGCTTCCATCATAGGTGGGAGAATCCGAATGGTCAACTCCTACTAGGACCTAGATTCCAGTGTTTCGCCACCAGGCCATGAGTGCTCTGCATACAGTATGGCCTCTACAGCTGTGCTGTGCATCGGCGCAGAGCTCAGTCGTGCCATTGGCATGGCAACACTTCAATTTCCTATAGCTGTACATTAGCATCCTCGACCCATGTAGCCTGATGATCCTGTAATGCATGAAACTCAGAGTTATCGCCCCTCCCCCCGAGACACACACATCATAGCACTGTAGACTGATGATGGGGTTGCATTTTTGTTGTTTTGCCATGTGATTATGCAATCACCATTGTGAAATGAGGTTGCCTGCTGCTCTTCGTTGATAGTATTGAAAAAAAAATCAAGCCCATCTGCTGCTGCTAGCTGCCAGAACTGATGCTGACACTGCGATCGCCACCTCCAACTGCTGAGCCTGAGGTGCCTCGTGCCTGTAGGCTGTGTAGCACCACCACAGCTTGGTCCGCCCTGCGTTGCCCCGGCATCGTACTCTCGTACACAGGCCATGCTGCCGCATTCTCGCGTGGTGGTCTTCGTGAGTACGTCTTACACCATTTGCATATGCCACCCGCTTATGCGGCCCGTGCTGGGCCTCTCTTTTCTGTCTTCCTGCCCGCGACCCACCTTACCTGGTGAGCTCTCGCGCCTTATTTTCCATATAAGCATGGTGGTGTCTGTTATCGTGGGTCCGATAGCCCCCGGGGACTTCGCCTTTTCCATACGTGATATGCATTTCTCCGCCATACCGCCTGTCTCTGCCTGGCACTGTACTAGTCCTTACCCCGTACCGCCTTGTTGCAGTTTTATCTTGCATGCTCGGTTAGTACTAATACTACTATGCGTTGGCTGAGACTTAGTACGCGCGCCGCGGCTGGAGCCCTTTCGTGCCACGAAAGGACCTGCTTCCTAATATAGAGACTGGGCGCCATGCCCGCGCCCTGTCTGCCGTAATCCTTGCATTAATACTAGCGCTACAACCTTCATGCAAATATGGGGTAGTCTCGCCTGTGGGCGTACTAGTGCTCCTGGTGCAACCTGGGCTTTCTACTAGTAGAGGTCTACGGTTGCCTGCCATTGCATGCCAGACACCCCCATTGTTGCGCGCCTAGCCACGCGCGTGGCTTTTGCCTGCTGCTCGGTTGTCCGCGATAACTACGGTTTGCCGTACGCTGCAAACCTACATTTATCGCCCCTCCCCCCGAGACACACACATCATAGCACTGTAGAATGGGGTTGCATTTTTGTTGTTTTGCCATGTGATTATGCAATCACCATTGTGAAATGAGGGTTGCCTGCTGCTCGTCCAAAAATAGGTCTTGCCTGGGTCCTGGGAACCGTGTTTCTATGCCACCCCGCTAGTGGGAGGGGAAGCCTGCAGGTGTGTGGATATACCGCTTGTATGCCGAGCTGCGCCAACGTCCGGCTGCCTGCAACTGCCACTCTGGCGCCCGTCGTGCTGCCAACTCGGTGGCGCCGCCCTTGCGCAGGGAGTGGCTACTGACCTCAGGGCCCAAAGCTCTCTTCAACTGTAGGTTGATGTCCTTCTGAGTGAGCTGCTTACCGTTGTCGTGAACGAAGAAGGGCGCTTCCGCATTTGACCAGCGTCGCCTGGATCTGTATACCTTGACGGCCTCTACTGGACACAGCTCTTTGTTGGCCGACGCATGAAGCAACACTGTGCCGCCCCCGCCGAACTGTGAGGTCTTGGTGGGACCAAGGTTGATTACCACCTCTGTCTCCGCTATCTGGACCTGGGCCACAGTCAGGGTGTGGAGATTGCGTGCTTCGCCCGTTGACGTGGAGGCATATTCGCCTACGCGCAGCAGACCGTAAAATGCAGTCAGCAGTGCAGCCCACATCATTGCCTTATCACTTGCCGAGTGGGCGGACGTACCTACTTGCGCTTTTATGGTCAGCAGATCTGATGGCGCAACTGGTAGGCGCTGCCGGCCCCCTTGGCTACCTGCCTCCGACCTCCGTGTGTCAAATTGCTTTCGCTCAATGCCTTTCAACACGGCCACGAGGCGTTGTGAGCGCAGTCCCTCTACGGACGTACCTTGCGATAAGTGAAACCTTATGGCAGCTAGGTATACCTTAAGTGTTGCTGCAGACACTGACTCTGAAAGTGACGTAGCAAAGCGCACAATATCCTCGTTGTTCGGGTGACGCGGGTTGAAGCCGACAGCTGCTGCGAATTTCATGTATGCGTTAATGCCTGGCTGGTATGTCTTACGTGTGCTGGGCGCGACCGACAAAGCTACCAAGGTGTTGGCATCACGAGACAACTCGAGCTTCCGGGCATCGCCTGTGCAGACCAAACACGACCGCGATAAAATGGTTGTTGCAGGTGTATTCTGCTCGTAGATGCCCCTGCTCTAGGCCAAATACCTCCAAAAATAGTAATGGGGAGCTCCCTTGGGAGAGCTAATTCTATGCGTTACCCATATGCTTCCTGGTTCACTTGACCGACATGGGATGCCCCATGCGCCTGGTTTGCTGCGATGCTGCCCGGCATTGGTACGCATCATTGCTATGCGCCTTATGGGACCCGCGCGCGCGGGCTACCCGACCTGCCATGCTTGGCTGTGCTGCTAAGGTTTGTCTGTGGCGCGCGCCAGCTCCGCAGTATGCCATGCTAGTCCCGCGCGGGATGAATGTTAACCTTAATACAATGCACGCGCTGCCGCATCTTGCTTGGCTGTGCTGCTAAGGTTTGTCTGTGGCGCGCGCCAGCTCCGCTGTATGCCATGCTAGTCCCGCGCGGGGTGAATATTAACCTTAATACAATGCACGCGCTGCAGCGTGTTGCTTGGCTGTGCTGCTAGGGTTTGTCTGTGGCGCGCGCCAGCTCCGCAGTATGCCATGCTAGTCCCGCGCGGGATGAATATTAACCTTCGAAAATGAAAATACAATGCACGCCCTGCAGCGTCTAAGTAGCCTTCTATAATGTATGCTTATGTATTATTGGGTGAGTCCCCCAACGCCTAGCATGTTAGGTTATCTCTGCTTATAAAATTGCGCATAATTATAGTCTATGGCAGCGCCCGTGCCCTAAGCCAACTGCCCGCCGCTGCCATGATGATAAGTGTATATTTAGGTTTTACCCCCTGAGGCTAGCCCTTGCGCTAAGTATTTCATGCGAGCCGGTACATGCAAATGCAGAATGGGAACAATCTGCCAGCCCTGGCATGCGCTTGCCAGCGAACCCTTTACATGCGTGTTACATCGCCGCCCCGCCCCCGGTCACTGCTTTGCATTCTTAATATTCATTTGCCTGCTCAAGACCCCTGCCGCCAGGCCTTAAGTGCTGGTTAGATAACCACCCTGCGTATGCCGCCACGCTGCCGCCGCGCCCTTGTAAAGTTAAGCAAGTGTCATTAAGCCATAAAATACAAGGATGAACGGTGCTATAGTAATTAATGCCAACGCCACTAGGTCGTCTGCAGCCTGACGCCCGCTGCCACAATAAAGACCGCAACAATGACCGCCGCCACAATAACTACAGCAGCAACAGCGGCAACAAACAACACGAACCATGACGACGATGACGAGAGCGGCAATAGCAACAGCAGCAATAATAATTCGGCTGTAGAGGGCGTTCCCTCAGAGAATGTCCGGTAGGGAACATGGCAGGCTGTCTGCCCCTGGCGCAAGCGAGCGAAATCGGGATAATTGACGTCTTGACAGGGCGTCTGCGATGGCGTTGTCAATGCCAGCGATGTGGGTGATTAGCAGGGTGAAGTTACTCAGCGCGGAGATACGCAGGGCCTTGGGGATGAGTTCAACAACGCCAGCGTGCTTGCAGGTGCCGGCCTTCCATGCCTCGACCACCGCCTTGTTGTCGCAATGCAGGAGAATCTTTTTGCCACCCCACTTGTGTCCCCATAGGGCGCACGCTGCTGTGACTGGGACCATTTCCCGCCAGATGATGGAAGCTGTTGGTGATGATCCTGGGAGGTCATCCCATGCAACGCTGAACCACTGGCCCTGAAAGAAGCCGCCGAAGCCTGTGCCCGAAGCATCGGTGATCAGTTCGATGTCAGGAGCCTTGGACCAGCAGTTGTCCCTGATGAGCGCTTTGCCGTTCCACAGGGGGAGCATGTCCTGCCACCAGCGGATATCCTCCTGGGCCTCCTTGGCGAGGGCTATCATCTCAGTCAACTTGGTTGCTGTCGAACTGAGGTCGATGAGCCTGCGCAGGAAAGTCCGGCCGGCTGCTACCACCTTTGCGGCAAATGCGAGGAGGCCAATCAGTGACAATAGCTCGCGCTTGAAGCAATGCGAAGATATTCGCCAGTTCGCCAGCTTGTCTTGTAAATCTCGCAGTTTCGATGCCGGGAGGCGTAACTCCATGGCCACGGTGTCAACCTCAAGACCCAGGACGGTCAATGTTGTGCTGGGGCCGGCCACTTTGTCGTGTCCTTCAGCGACCGGTACACCTAGGTTCTCGAATACCTGCAATATGGTAGCCATATTCCTCGCAGCCGCGGAGGTAGCAATAACTGGGGCTGGCGGTGATACATCGATGAAATCGTCTAATAATGCTCAATGTTCTCAACATCATGGTTTTCGCGTAAGATCCACACCAGTGCATCAGCAAAACGATTGAAAAGAAAGGGTGAAGACCGCAAGCCAAAAGGTAGCACCATGTCAAAATAAAATTTACCTCGCCAACACATGCCAAGCAGCGGCCGGTCATCCGGGTGAACTGGTATGAGTCTAAATGCATGCCTCAAATCAACCTTGCACAAAAGCGCACCTGGGCCAATTCGCTTAACGTGCTCACATATGGTATCAACAGAGGGCATGGAAAACGAGACCGCGTCTCGGTCAATAAAATCGTTAACACTATTCCCAGCTGGGGCAGACAAATGCATAATTAAACGGTGGCCCCCGTCCTTTTTGGGTACTACCCCCATACCAGACGTGCGCAAAGGTAAGAAAGGTGGCGTGTCAAAAGGACCGCTAGTGTGCTTAAGTTTGCATTCTTTAGCTAAATAGGCATCAACAATAGCTGGATCTGTGGATGCAGAGGCCAGATTACTAGAAACAACTGAAGCGCCGCGATCGCCTGCAAACCCGATGCGGCAACCAAAACGCAAACCGGGCAAAATATTGTCCACTAAGACCCGATCAGGGTGACCAGCAAGCTCTACGCTAAATGCATCAATATTTATTGGTGTGACAATTGAGTTTAAACTTAAAGAATTAGCAGATGTGGACATAGAGTTCTCGCGAACTAATGACGGCTGTACAGGAGTGTGATGAGGCTTTTCAGGCCGAAGCGCGGGTGGGACACTCCGTTGCTGGGTGTGTTCCCTTGCAGAACATGCACCTGTGCTGGTAGCTACAATTGGAAAAGGTGCAGTTCCCTTTGTTGAACATTTTGCAGATCGGCTTTCCGCTGGGCCCAGAGCCAGAGGTGAGGGCACGAAAAGGCGCATTCAGTGAAGGTTTCGCTACACATGCCATGGTGGAGTGGCCTGTCCTCTTACATTCAGCACACACTGGCAGAGCTTGGCCGGTGAAGGACTGGGTGAAAAACTCCATGTGCAGGTTACCAATGCTGATACTATGGTCCCTTGAGTCTTGACATCGCCTGTCGCAACCGAGTGTCATATTCCTGCACCGCAGCAAAACGATACTTTTGCGCTGCTTGAACTACCCTTAGCTGGTGCTCCATGAGACCAGCACATGCGCCTGGTGCGCCCTCGCTAGCAATGACGCTAAAGATCGACCAGGCTTCGATCCAATCAGTAACATTTTCAATTTTACGCCTGGGTGACGACACAGTAGAAATCAGTACGGACGCATCCGCGGAGCTTTCGTCGACCCGTAAGCGCTTAGCGGGTGGCTCCGTTCCTACAAACGTGACAACTAATGAGCAGGCGCTGCACCGAGACGCAGCAGTGATGGTGGGGCATTGATGACTCTGCCGACCTGAGGTCTCGGCGTCACGGCCAAAAACACGCACCAAAGACAATGAACAAAGAAGAAGATAGAGCTGTACAGGTAAGAAAGATGCAAAAACCCAAGGCTTAAAGGGGAAGTGCATCGATTTTTCAAGTAGGGCTCAGATGAAAGACATATCGGTTCCGATGGTATATCTCTCGCTTGCGTACGGCAAGGGAATCTTGCCATATCGCCGATTTCCTGATCCCGTTTCCATGGCGACTACAGGTGATGACGCACATTCTGCTTAGCTCGGTGAGAGAGAAGGTCGATCACTGCAGAATTGTGTCATTTTCAGTTGTCTTCTTGTATTCACGAAGTGAAAGAAGTACTGTGTTCAATGCTGTTTGTGCCGTGAACTGTTTATTAGTAGTCCTCTCCGTTGTGTACTGGGGCGTGACACCGACAGGGGAAAGCTGGAGTGCGGAGACGTTAGCTGGCAAGCGAAAATCGTGACGAACCAAGTGCTGAAATCTTGGTTGGGACAAATCAAACGTTCAGCATTTACCTCAACCAAGGACCATGCCGTTTGCTCTTTCCACTTCCTGAAGATGGATGCGCTGCCTGCTGAAGACTCTCCTATCTCTCGTAACATCTTCTGAAGCCAGGTGAGACGACGAGTAGCGGAGATTAGCGAACGAAATAATGTCGTATGTTTTGAAATTTTGCAGAACATATCTCAGGAGAGATGGCATATACATGTATGAACTTAGTCCATGTGAACTCAATCAGCCCATGAACTAACCCATGAACAAATGCTTTCCTTGCAGACTTGCATGTGTCTATCCAATCTACACGTAGAGATCATTCCATGTCCTCAGTGAATGGCCTATTTATATATTATTTGTCCATACACTTCATCTGCATGTTGTCTCTATGGAGAAGGGTATTGTTCATTTCATATGAAGAAGTTCGGGCAATAGATGCTTTCCTCTGGTACAATTCTGTTGACCTGATGTTCTTTCTAGCTTCATGGGTAACTTAGGTGAGGTACCAGCACCATCATGTTTACATGAGGGTCAAACACTGCACCGTTCTTTGTTGTGACATGACGTAAGTTATTGTAAGTGCTCGCAGACTCCATACGTTCCAGCAACACCTAGCATGGTTTTTCGTCAACGTTGTGGGTGAACAAATTCCTGTCCAACATGTTTATACAGACATGCCAGCACACACCATGCGCCATACACACACTTGCCCTGCCCTGTCGAGTCACAGCCACGTGGGCCCGGAGGGGCAGTGGAGAGAG